AGGATTTTAATCTCATAATTTAATGAATATTCAAATAACCTGTAATTTTAAAGTATATCCTCAGCGAATTTTGTCCAAACACGAAATGACATTTGCTCGCTTTACCACGTGCATCCATGGTTGACAAAATTCATGGCAAATTAAAAGCTTCTCTTGCAAATTTGTACACAAATGTATCTTTTGGTCTTAAACAGTCGAACGACGCTGTAAACTTCTTTGGTTGCTGAATAAAGTTTACAAGTCTGACGGAATGATTCGTTGACCTGATTTTATTGCACTTTTAATAAGTTTTTTACGAGGTGACTTTTCAACGGAGGAGGTAGTGATGGTTGTCAGTGATTGATTTAAATTGACCTTTTTTTCGTATTCGTATTAACGATATAAAAAACGGGTTCCGAGTTGGTACAAAAAAATAATCGGTGTTGGTATCAAAACACACTTTCCGTAGAGCTCTCGATATTGTTCTGCTTTACTGTTCCGGAAAGTTCCTACTGGAAGGGGAGAACTTTGGTCCTAACCGTTAAGTTTGCGCCGAAAATAGCAACTTTCTGTGACTGTAATAGAAAAACTTTCGGAGTCTTGCTGAAAAAATATTTTGAAAACAATTCGGCGCAAAAAAAAGCTGGTGATAGTTTCTGATTCGTGTCCACCCACACTACGGTATTATATTCCTACAAAATCCAAAAGTCAAAGTTTGAAAAAAGTACCGTAATGGGGGAAAAAACAGAATTGAATCGAAAGGGGAAGTGGTACTTTTATAAATTTTTCCTCCCAGAATGCTAAAAAAACATGCAAAATTTTGTGAGTCTTCAATATTTTACTGATGATCTAAGCATTAGACAAAAATCATATTTTGATTATTTGCTGACGAAATGTATAGTTTCAGCAGGTATTTGTCAACTTGTTCAGTCAAAAAAAAAGAAAAAGAAAAAGAAAAAAAATGGGGCCCACTATTGATTTTGCAGTGACGTTAAGGTGTTACAAATTCGCCAAATTCCTAGATAAGCTCTTCCTGACTAAAAAATAATTAATTATTTGTAATACTACAATAAGACGATCGGTTGATTCTACCGCATAAGGTGCCGAAGATAGAGGCAAAAAAATTATTTTAATATCTGAATCAGTCCGCTAGGTTAAAGACATCTCAACCAGCACCGGTATGTGGTCGTGCTGAAGAAATACGCCGCGCGCCGTATGAACCTTCAGGCGTTGCCAAAATTCATTCGATAAAAACCGAAATTACTGGAAAATTTGTGCTTATTTTTTCCAAAATTTTCAGGCAGTATCGTGCGCACTTTAATCTAAAATTTCTGAAAATTTCAAAGAAAAATGTGCATGAATGTTGTAAAAAATACATGTTTTATCAAAGGAAATTTGGCAACTCTCGAATGTTCATACGGCGTTTTTCCTTAGCACGGCAGTATACGTGTCATGCAATATGGGGTCGAGCAGCACCAACAGCCATCTCTTCTAATACACCTGTCAAAAAAATCACGAAAAAGAGAGAAAGAACAAACGCGATAAAACGCCGTTGAATGATTTGAAGACAAATATATGTACTCTGCAAGAAAAAATGGGGTCTCAGAATGTTAATTGGTTTGATGTCATTAGCATCATTCTTCAGCTTACTCTCTCGATCTTAATAAATGAGTCCTCTCGGGTTTCTCGCTGTTTTTGGTAATCTAGTTCCAGCTCGCATCATTTGCGAACTACCTACACTTCTGCATTCCAGGACGCTTGCGCAATGCAACGCTTTGCAGATTAACTTCTTTTTCTGTCGATTTTTAGCACTTGTGGCGTATTTGTTCGGACCGGTTTCTCGCGAAGATTCGTCAAAGGCCAACCGGAACCGAAGGGTGCATTTTTTTTTGCGAACTCTGTTAAAAATCAATGATTTGCTCCGAGTGAATAGCCGGCGTGAAAAAGAAAAAATCCAGCGCGAATTTCGCGCCGTACTCTGAGCGGATTCCGGACTGTATGAGATTTTCCTGAATTTTTCCTGGAACTTTTGGAACTCCCGAAATGTTCCGGATCTTTTACATTTTCCGGAACTTTCTCGGAACTTTTGAAAAATCTAAAAGGAATCCCGGAACTTTTGACGGTCATGGAGTGGGAGAAGTTAGTACAAAAAAGTTCCGATTCCCTGAACTTTTGACGGACATTGGAATGGAGCACTGGATTATTCTGCGATTAGAACTGCGCATTTTAGCGACAGTGTTGGAAGTTGATCCGCAAAGTTACGGCGCAGTTGACAGATATGATGATCTGAATAAGTCTCTAAGTGAAATCTTCTCCTAGAAAGTTTGATGAATAATACATGGGGAACGTAAGCATTGGATGCAGTGAAATAAACGCGTACCAGCGCCAAAAAAAGGGATGTAAGAGTTCTGTTGAGTTACGACTCGTTGCGGGCACAGCACCAACTTGCATCCATTATTCTGCGAGTCAAAATATATATTATGGAAAATAATTGAAGCCACACCTACTTACGAGTTACAGCCGCTGGTCTCGGAAACTATGATCTACATGCATTGAATAATTACTAAAATCTCATACCTACGTTTTCTATAGGGCCGATTTTCATGATTTTTGCTACTAGCGGCAGGACCTCTAAATGAGGCAGATTCTTTAAGTTTTTGAGATTCGTCCTAAAAAACGCCTTGATGCGTCCTCTGGGGGCCTCGAGCTGATTATTGAAATTGGTAGACAAAGCGATGGATAAAATAACTTATTCTTCTTCTACCTTCTGACTAGGGCCCTAATCCTGTTTGTCTAGCCTCTAAATATATGACAAATACAATATGATGGCGATGAGAGGGGATTAATTCCCTGGGGATGAAAGGCAACTCTGTGCCCATCTACCCATAAAGGGTAAAAGGACCCATTTTGCTCATAGGAGATAAAAGAACGCGAAGGAAAAATAGGAGCGATTTCATTGGTTGAAACCGGTGGTTGTCTTGTTATCGACTAGGGCGGAAAATGATGGACTACCTATGGGGCTACTTGTGAGACACCCTTCGTGAGTCTATTACACTCTTCCCTTGGCCATTGCAACCACCCGCTTCCACCAATAGGGTCCCTCCATTTTTCCTTTGTCTTTCTTTGTCTATCGCTTTGTCTATCAACTTCGATAATCAGTCCAATGGAACGTGTAGCGGTTACAGAGTATCCCTCTGGTGCTAATATGAGTGTCATGTTCTTCTAGTCATCCATTCACAACACTGGCCTTATTTCATCACATTAGCTAAATGGAGGTTCGTAGCCAATGTGTTGCCAAGAAAAAAAGTATAACCGCTCCGAATATGGCAACCCTGTTAACGCGGTAATACAACGCTGCCAGGCGCTGTTAAGATTGATTTGGTTCCTACATCATAATGTCGCATCCGTTGAATCTATTTCCATCACTCCTGCAACCGGTTTGACTCCGATTGCTGCACTTGAAAGTGAGTTAAAACGTTCGCCAGATTGTTGGGAAAAAGGGACTTGTTTTATCGATTTGAACGGAGGGATTGCATGCGTGTAGGCAACAGGCACTGCTCCTCACCATACGAGGACCATGCCAAGACGCAGTCTCGGAACAAACTGCAGCGGCAGCCCCGTGCAAACAAAGTTAGTTGGAACTTTTAAGGCAGCTTCGGAGCGTCACCTTATCAAACCAGTTGCTGTGGCGTTGTTTTTATTAAGGATGTCCTCATCATATTTGTTTGAAAAATGGATTTGGTTCTTTGTGATGTCATTCACAATCGTCTTTCAAACTGAAAATCTGAACCAGCGATGTCACTTAGAAAAGTTATAAATGCAATAATAAACATTGTAGCTTGGAATCTTGACCCTATGCCCTTAGGAGCTTAAGAGAGTGATTTGGATAAATGACTGGAAACCGATGATTCTGGCTCTCAATCGGTTTTATTTATTGCGCTCAATAATTTCAGTTTCCTCCTGAAAACCCTTTAAACCTGACTATCACAATTTATAGATTTTCTTCTGCTTTTTACTGACTTATAATCAACTTTAAGAATCAATTTTCCTCCATCTATATTATACAGCTACAAGCAAAATCTTGGAAGCACTATTTCTGACGAACTGCCGGACCGATAAGGATGATCTTTACATGTATGTCATCTGTAGTAGATGAAGATGTGCAAACAATTATGAAACCCCGAACTTTTAATGTTGTAGAGCTTTTAAAGCTCATGTCACTTAAGTCCAATGTTAATAGCGTGAGAGATATGTCGTTTCCGCTTGAAACGTCAAGGTGTGGGATTCTACCTGAGTGACACCGACCGCTGCTGGTCAGCACCAAACAGTGTGATCACTGTTTGGCGTAATGCGTGAAGTATTCATGCAGTCTTGTAGGCGCTATGTGTTTCATGCTGACCGCCGCGCCGTTCCAGGTCAAATGGCGCGTTTGGTTTTTCTCTTAACTCGACTAGTTAAAAGTGTTGTCTCTTGTATCACCGAAAGACGACAAAATTAGAAATTACTATACTTTTACTCTCAGGAAATGAGAGATTTTGTCGCCTTTTCTCGTTTGTAATTTATTTTCTGAATTCGATTGTTTTCTCTCATTTTTTGATACCTACATTCAAAAAGATTGCAAAATTTGCCGCCCCCCATATTTTGCCGCCATGGGCCGCGGCCCATGTGGCCACCCCTTTAATCCGGCCCTGCTGGAGGCACCTTGGAGAGCCTGAACCATGAAAATCTAAACCACTTGTAATATCATTCGTGGAAAACTAGGAAAGGCCCCGGCCCTTTTTAACAATACGACCATTATAAGAAAAACAGACTATTGACTTTTGAAAATTCGTCCAATAGCTTTCTTCTTCTTCTTTTTTCTTAAAAAAAAGCCTGAGACACGCGGATAGTTTGAACCGCGGATATTCGGGCCCTCTTTACGCCCACCAAATAATTATCAGTGCTTCCTTCCATGTGTTTCAGTTCCCTCAATACATGAAAATACACGGCTATATATGTTTTATTTTTCATTTTGTTCGCAGGGGATTCTCGAGCAAAGATGGCGGCCAATAAGATGAACAACAAGTTGGATTATTTCAAAATGCTCGATTACACGCCACCGGTTCTTCCCAAGGAACTGGAAGCGTTCCCGGACAGAGTGGCAGAAGTTTACGTTGGCAAAACTATTTTCATAACGGGTGGCAGTGGGTTTCTGGGTCGGGTGCTCATCGAGAAAATCCTGCGGAAAAGCCCCGATGTCAAACACATTTACATGCTCCTCAGGCCCAAGAAAGGCAAGGACCCCAGACAGAGGGTCGAAGAGCTTTTCAACTCTCCCGTAAGTTCTCATTGAATTCTCTTCTTTACATAATTTTAGGGCTCATTTTTTCTCTGTTTTGTTCTCAGGAAGTAATGAAGAAATATCGATTTATCGAGCAAATGCTGCTAAAATACGAGTTTTGCTTTTCACTCTTTGTAAAAATAGAGATGCAACAGGGTAGACAGTTTTTCACCGATATAGACTGCTGAGATATGCTTCTACACTGTTGCATCGCTGTTTTTACATAAGAAAGAAAAGTAAAACTCGCATTTTAGCAAAATTTGTTTGGTATATCGACGTTTTTTTTACTTCCTGGGAGCATCATTTGATTACCAAACACAGACAGCTAAAAATTCGGAATAGAGGGTTCAACCCATGGGTCAGGTCTGTCAGGAACTGACCTCTTCGCTTAGCAGAGCCTTTGGGTTTGGTGAATCGAATACCTAGTTTAACAAACCGAAGTCTCGGTTTCACATAACTGTAAAACTTCGGTCGGTATGAGGCATGTTCCACGTAAATAAAACATTTTCGGTTAGTTGAACAGAATCTTCGGTTTTTCGGTCGATATAAGGCATATTTCACATAAATCAAAGTTTTTCGGTTAGTTGAACAGAATCTTCGGTTCTTGAAAGAACCTCCGGTTCATGAACCGAGGATAGGTCTCGTTAACCGAAGATTGGTCTTGTTAACCGAAGATCGGTCTTGTTAACCGAGGATCGGCCATGTTAACCGAGGGGCGGTCTTGTTAACCGAGGATCGGTCTTGTTAACCGAGGATCGATCTTGTTAACAGAAGATCAGGTTTGTTATAACCAGAATCGGTCTTGTTAACCGAAGATCGGTCTCTTTAACCGAAGAGGTCGGTTTGTGCGATCGAGGGTTTAATTATTTGACCCGAGAAGCGCCCGATGAACTTATCTGTCTCGTGTAACCAAGGGGTTCTTGCCCCGTGGCAGTCGCAATCAGCATAATGCAGGTGGATTTAACGACCGATCATCGGGTGAAATGAATCAATTGATTGTTAAACGATTCATTCAATTTTATAAACAGCTGCCGCGAGCCAGGCGCGTGGCACCATGAATTGTCGTGGATCGCGACGGCGCACGGTGGCTCAGTTCGTGAGGAGAATCAGCGAAGCAGTAATCTACATGTTAAGAGTATCTCTAGTGCCGATATCATTCTTGAAGTCTTGATGTCTGATTTCTCAGAAACTTATCATGATATTAAAAACATGTGAGGTATAAAAAGTGATCATTTTTAATCACTTAAGGAAAATGAGCTTAAGGCGTACTGATGAGTGTCCTAAAATCAGCAGAGTGCTCAAATGATTAGGGTAGAATTTTTATACTGATGTGTGATGACTGAAAATGTGTAGGCCTACGGTTTGTCAGTGAGAATATATGATTTCGAATAGCGGCTTGGCGTGCTTTGCGATATATCGATAGATCTGCCAGCCAAGCCATTATTCCTTCACTGGAAAAAAAAACACATTGGATCTAGAGTCCAGACTCTTAAAAACATCGACAAGAAAAAATACTATTGATTCAATAAGAATCTAGCTTAAATCAACAACCAAGCCTCTCAATTTAAGCGAATTTCGTTTTGATTCAAGCAAAAATCCGATTGAATCAAGAGTTTTTTTTCTTGTCAATGTTTTCAAGAGTCTGGACTCTAGATCCATGTGTTTTTTCCCCAGTGTTAACCAATTGAAAATGAAACTCAAAAATAAAGCCTATTATAGTCTAAAAGAATTTTTCGAAGAATCTGTACTCGTATAATTTCATTTTGCTTAAATTGTTGTATAAATTGTAAATTTGACTTGTGCCAGAGCTTTTTACTATAGGCTGTATGCATCAATAAATTCTATCTATCTATAAACCTATTATATGGAAAAGGACCTATAAGCAGCGTGCTCGCGGCGAATACACTGGAAAAAAATTCTCGGCGTTTTTACCAAGGTCCGTTGGTACATTTACCATCTCACTTTTTCTACCAATTATTGGTAATTTTACCAAGACAGACAGGTAGGTTTACCTAAAAACCGATATTTTTACCGTTTTTTTCAGGTAAGTATATCACTTTCATTGGTAATCAATTCCCGGTAACTTTCCCATTTTATCTCGGTGACTCTGCCACAGTCGATAAAAAATATTGGCGTTTTTACCAAGGTCCAGTAAAATTACCAAGAAAGTTCAATAATTTTACCGAGATTTTTCGGTATAATTACCAATTCCATAAATGGTAATTTTACCAAGAAAAAACTGGGATCAAATAGAACCCTGAATTCTTGGTAATTTTACCCTTTTCTTAGTAAGTAGGTACTCCGAGATTTTTTTCTCAGTGCATCTTAATATAATCGCTTTGTGAATTGGAGAATGCAGTTTTTGATCCTCAGCGCCTCAAGTACTTTTCCCTTAAACCAGCAACTAAGAATTTGGTGGCCGAAAAATTGATTTTGAACCACTGTGCGGCAGCCGACCATAATCCGTTCCGATATTTCCGATTTCACGCGTGTCACGAATCCATTGACGGCTTTGAGTATTGCCACGCGAGCTTCTCATTCAATCCCTCTTTCCTTTTCCTCATGATCTTCAGTGATGAGGCGGGAATGATCGATTATCGATTATCGATATTTCCTCATTTGACGCTATTCTAAGGAATCGATTATTGAGCCGTACATTGTGAACACCCTGCTTATCGATCCTTTTCCATGGTTTAAAAGACAGGTCAATCGATGAATACAACGCACGCCATGCTACTGACGATCTTCCTGTAAACGCTAAACGAGAACAACTCAGAAGCAGGTCTTGAAATCCGCTACTTAATCCGCAAGAGGGTACCTGTAAGTCCTCTGTCGCGCCTGTCACAGAACCATATTTTGACGCTCATCTTCGATCAGTGAATAAATAATATATTCGCATACATGTGATGAGTTTCTGTGAGATGGTTCACGTCAGCCAAATCGTCAGTGTATATACCATTATTTCGCGAATTACTGTTTTTGGAAACAACGACCATCAACAAGCATTTTTCAAAAACTTAAAAAAGAAAAACTGGTGAAAATTTTACTTTTGGAGATTCTTTTTGAATATTAACTATAGTAGAATTTACGTAAAAAAGGTTTCTTTCTTCCTTTTTTTTTAAAAAAAAAAATGAGCAGATCAGTCAGGGTTTCTTAACATTTTTTGAAGATTTCATGTTTTTTTAACATTTTTTGAAGCTTTTATGTTAAAAAATTACAGTTGATCTTTTGAGAATTTTTTTGCAAAATTGTTTTTAACTCTGTTTTTTGTCTTCCTAAATACTAACTCTTGGAAATTGTTCATAAGAAAGTATATAATCTAATTTAACCTAGGGCCCAAGTAACGGTGGAGATGGTACCTTTGCGAATAACTGTATGAAGATAAGGCTCCTTCATTTCAGCTTAAATCATAGGCGAGAGGTATGATGTCATTTTCAACGTACTTACAATCGTTGACTCTTTTTCGGATAAATATTTAGAGGCACGCTGGTAAATCCCCACAAATAATGGATATCAGTTCTCATCGAATTAATACTACAGTATATTCTCGGTTAAGGTCACGGATGTGCTAGAATAACCTTGCTTGAACCTTGCATTGCCGATTTCGTCAATAAATGTCCGTGTAAACAAGAGTAGAACTCCATATCAGGATAAAAGTGGCAAATGTGCCCACCATTACATGCATCACCAATAATGAGCTATTGTTAATGAACGCAAGATGAACACGGTAGTATAATTGCTGCCTGCACTTGTGCGGCGGAAAATTAAACTAATCGGCTCCAGAAATCAGACTTTGGGACTGGATCCGATATCGCGATCACCGCAAGGTCAAGGTAATATACCCTTGACCTCACTGATTATGATACGATGTAATATTTCAATAGTTTAAATTAATCTTTAAGTCTTGTTTATCACATTTTTCAAGTCTTAGTGGAATGGTACTGATTTAAGGTTTTAATTTTATCGAATTGTAGGTATCTCAATCTTCCCCTATAATAAAAATCATGGGAGTAACTTGTAGACATAAAGTGTTTCGGGGGAGAGGGGGAGTTCCGCGAAGCGGCCAGAGTGCGTAGCCCCTGGTATACACAAAGTTATCTCTAATTTAAGTTTTAATGCTTTTAATATTTCTTTTTATAATCAGAGTAAATGGTACAGTTGGCTGACACATATTTTGAGCTTTACAACTCTTATACGATTAAATTAAATTACATTTTTAATTTATTACCACGAGTGCTAGATCCAGGTTTTTTTTTTTTTTTTTTTTTTTTTTTTTTTTTTTTTTTTTTTACATTTTATGAGCAAATATTTCCAGAGATACAGTGCAAAGATGCGCTAACTTACTCTTCAGTATTACGTTGAACATCAATTACCGCGTTGGACCAGGTCATCATTGCCTTGAATTTGCAATTCAAATTTATACTGACTAATATCTCATCGGTTAAATTGTAGTAATATTGAGCAGAGGATAAAACAGTGAAGATACAGCGTTTGACCGTTAAGGCACTTAACATAAAGTTTCGATCCGCTTAAGGTAACCGAAATAATATGACCGTAGCAAAGATATCGATGTCGTGAAAGAATACAAATTATACATCTCTAATAATGTTGTTGACCTCTCGTTTGCAGCCTTATTGAAGAATAAAAGGAACTCCAAACCTCTTTTTCTCGGTTGGGTTTTGATAAGTTTCGACTCTCCTCTGTCAAACGGGGTTCGAATAATCATTTTCTTGGAGTTTTATTCCGATTTTAAAAATATTAGTTTTTGTGTAAGTGTTTTTCTCATTACTATCCAGAGACGCACTTTTACCGATAAACTTCACTTGAAGGCTGTGCACCTTGTCATCATTTATAACCAAGCTAATCAGGCAAAGTTCCTCTACAAGGCGGTGCTTGGATGAGTAAAGGGACTCTAATTGTCGCTATTACAGCTTGTTTCGAAGAATTCGGTCCATCATTCACACGACAAGGTTGTAGCGGTAAAGGCGTTTGACTCA